TGCCATTGAGTGCGAACCATCACATACTGAACCTACTGTGGGTTTTCCAAGATTATAAACAGCCTGGGAGATTTCCCAGCTCCACAGCTTAGTAATGCACACTCAAAACCCAGTCTCTGTGGAGCTGATACTGACTCGTGCATGTCAGAGTAAAACTTTGCCATCGAGTTTTTAGTGTCAGAAGTGGGCTTGACAGGGCTTTCCTCTTACGGCTTCTGGGTGGGTTTAAACCGCAAACCTTTTGCGTTTCAGCTGAGTGTGTTAACTTTACATCATCCAGAAACTTCCACATACTCTCAACTTTGCGATTTTCCTCACTGTTTTCCCCGATTGTATTGATAAAATGTGGCAAAATGTCTGAGAGTTAACTTAGCTGACATCTACAATGTGTGTTTTAGTGTTTAGTATGGAAAGAATATTGATACATTGCTAAGAAATTGTGTGTTTCTCTCTAGCAGTTCATACTGTGCTCTTACAGAGGTCTCTATTTTGACGGAAACCGCAAAGCAGAGACACAAAAGCACAGCAGAAAAATATTTGGTGGTAGGCTGGCTCAGAATAGAACAGCATTCAGAGGTATGGTGCATAGGGTCGCTATATTGCAAGTGACTCCACGGTACACAACAAAGTAATGCTTATTAAGTGGCTGTAAATTGTTGCTGTATAAAGTCATACCTTGTAGCTGTCAATCATTTTACCCTTTGGTGTAGTGACATTACGGTTCTCCCAGTTTAACAGTGTGTGACGCATCAGCTGCACCACCAAACCATCAAAGGCATTCAATTTTGGGAAGCAAACGCCTCATAGTTGTTTAAAAATCCAGAGTATTCACATGGGTAAAGTGAAGGGGGTTTCAAGTTTCTGAAACGTATGCAGAAAATGAAGTGATAACAGAGCCTGCCGGTGGCCATATGACTCAGTAATAACTGGAAGAAGGAAAAAAAGCAAAAACATTTAGGCTTGGCCAGAGTTAATAATACGCAGGAGTTTTAGTCTTATTTTGCTTACCAACACATTTCATTACTGCAAAGTTTCTTTCTTCATCTTCTTTAGACACCTTGACTATCTTCATGCTTGGAAAGAGGTCACGATGCATTTTGTGTGGGTACAAAACTTATTTTTTTTTAAAAGGCTGCACTGTAGTCTCGAAGGCAAACAGTTCCAATCCACCAACTGCTCCATTTAAGGATGAACAGTGTTCTCCCCTACAATTAACTGCCTCAGAAAACCCGCCAGAGGGGCAGCTAGGCGTCTGTTCCAGCTTGATGATACACAACAACATTATTTGTTAAATGGGACTTCTGGTGGCTTAGTGGTAAGGAGCGACATTGCTAACCCAAAAGGCTGGCAGTTCAAATCCACCAGTTGGTCCACACGAAAAGGATGGGTAATATACAACCTCCTGTATAATTGACAACCTCCGAAAACCTGCTGGAGGGTCAGCTTGAGTCAATTCCAACCAGATGGCACTTAACTCAAATTCATTAAAAGTCCAGTGATGCGTGTCTCAGTTCTGCTGCCACATCACGGTGTCAGCGACTAAGTGACAGTGTTGCCAGCTCCTGTGGGAGGCAGACAGAGATAAATCCAATGACTTAATGTCCTTGATTCATCAGAATGCTTTCCTCTCAGAAATGCCAAGGACATTTGGCACCAACATGTGCTAACATGAGCTTTTGTTGTCTTTAAATTCCTTTCCAAGGCTGGCAAGATCTTGACTTTATTTTGGTCCATAGCCCCATCTGTCACCTGTCCTCCTCGGAGGTTATAGACCTCTGGGGAGGGACTGCTTTTTACTGAGACTTTGCTTTGTGTTGCGGTTCCAGATTCTTTTGCCTTTTCATATTTGTAGCCCCCTCAGGTGAGCCACCCAGTTTCAAATCCATCTGGTTGAAGGACTCAAGGGGGTGAAAGTCTGTTTTATTTATTTTTGCAAAGTGGGTGGGATAGTATAGCTTTAATAAATGACCTTTTGTGCTGATAGTGTTGCCGGTAGAGAGAATGTGTATTTTGAAAAGAAAACCTTTAATTTGAATATGTTAAGTAATTCTGCAGGAATTCATAAATGAAAGGTTTCAAGATAAAATGTATTTTAAGGAGGGTGTCTGGAGGATTGGCCTCGAAAAGGAATGAGCAGTTGAAAACTGACACAAGATTGAAATCGCATGAGCATTTCTGGATCAATTTTAATTTCTTCTGAATATGTGTGATCTCTGAATTCATAAGGACTTTGCTATAAATGGAGGCTAAATATTTTATTTGATAAATAAGAAAAAATATGGAAAAATAAAATTATTTTATGTGGTAATAAAATTCCTCATCCTACTAAATCCTCCATCAATGTCTTCTAACTTGAAGTTTAAACTTTAAAGAAAACTGAAATTTTAAGTACTTAAGATAGCTGATAACACCCTGCTATCACTGTACTTTTTACTTCCAGCATCCTAATATGTTGTTGTGGAGTCAGAACTGACCCATAGCTGACCCTCCAGTGGGTTTTCAGAGGCAGTTAATTGCACTGGAGGAAATTACCCACCCTTCTCCCGCAGAGCAGCTGGTGGCCTTGAACTGTGTGCCTTTGGGATTGTAGCACAGCTTCTTGCCAGTAGGTCACCTGTGCTCCTTCATCCTAATTTAGAAAGGATTTTAAGGAAGATACACCCAGCTTTTTCTTTTTTTGTGTGTTTATATGTACAAGGATATGTATATATGTGTCAATGTGTATGTTTGTGTATGTATCTGTTGTTATGTGCTGTCAAGTTGGAACTGACTCATAGCTGACCCTCCAAGGGTTTTCTGGAGGCTGGACGTGACACAGGACGAGATTGCCCATCATCCTTCCTCAGAGGAAATGACTCATCTTTCTCAGAGCAGTTGGTGAATTTTGAACTGCCTGCCTTTGGTTTGGCAATGCACTTCCTTGCTACCAGAGCTGCCATGTATATCTCTCTTGTCTTTTGTCCAGTGCGTATTTTACCAACGAGTCTAATTCTCGTATGAACCAGATTCATTTGGTGAAATATCAAAATAAAAAAGGCACAATGAGGATAACAGTGACATAATTACATAGTGTTCACCTATCTGGGATCACATTTGGAGATCTCTCCTCTGAATTATCTGAAATTCTTTGAAGACCTTGTATTGTATCTCTGGTTGTCTGTCTGTTTCAACGTCAGTGCTACCACCTCGTGGGACTTCCGTGATGGCCACTTACTCTGACTGTTTCTGTTCACTCTTCAAATGATGGGCAGCTGAACAGCAAAGAACAGTGTAAAGGCTTTAGGGTAGACTGTCTGACACTGCTTCTTCAGGGCTGCTACTTAAAAATTTGTGACCTTGGACTTGATCAATCTCATCATTTTCTTTTCTGTAAGGTGGGCAGATGGTACTTTGTAGGGTTATTCTGAGATTTCAAAGAAGATGCACAGGATCTATTCAAATTGGTATTTTCTGGGTTCTCTGGTTTCATGAGATGGATTGATTCGGTGACTGGGGTAATCGGGATGGGTGTGTCAGAGGCAATGCTATTGGCACAGGATAGAGCAGGGTTTAGGGCTGTTGTACATAGGGTCGCTATGAGTCGCAAACGACTCGACGGCACATAACAACAACAACTGGTGTCATAGTGGGTTAAGTGTTGGGCTGCTGACCAAAGGCCAGAAATTTGAGCCCACTAGCTGCCAGAAATTTGAGCCCACTAGCTGCTTTCCAGGAGAAAGGTGAAGCAGTTTCCTCCTGTAAAGATTGTCAGCAACAGAAACCTGATGAAAGGTAGATCTGAGTGAGAATCAGCATGGTGGCGGGGTGTGTGGTATTTTTGGTCGAAGGCTTTTTACATTAGTATGAATGTAACCACTCACAACTGACCTTGGACAGCTTGTTAAGACACTACTATCCTTCGGGTTTCTGAAGTCTGTGTCAGGCCCCTAGCTCCTGCTCACGTTGCAAACGTTGTCTGAGTCCTTTAGTCATGGAACAGAAGTGGAGTCTTCGGTGGATCATCATTCTGTGGGTCTCGCGTGTCAGTCTCAAGCCCGAGTGTCTTCTGCTGCCTCCCACCTGCTTGGGTCATTGTCCTCATCTGCGTGGGCAGTTACCTCTAAATTTTATGTCTGCAAAACTAATCACACTCTTTTCCTTCAGATCACATCACTCTTTATAGGAAGAGAAGAATTTCTCACGGATCATGGGCTAGGTAGGAAGCCAGGAGGTTTAAAAAAACCTAAAGTGAATATTTAGAATATGTCCATTTTTGTTAGTGTCGTGTGATGGTTGACTTTTCAAGTCCTTGACGTGTTTTCAGAAACAAGATTTACAATTACTAGCCTAACGATTTATTGTAGTTTATTATATTTTTTTGTGTATCTTTCCAGACATTTTCTATACTTATTCAAGTCCGACTATTTGTTTTATATTTGTTGTTGTTGAGTACTGTCTAATTGGCACCCATCTCTGGTTGGCTCGTTAGCAGGTTTTCAGAGGCAGTAAATCACACAGGAGGAAAATTCCCATCTTTTTCTTGCGGAGCAGCTGATGGATTCAAACCTGATACCTTTAAGTTGACAGTGTAATTCCTTACCACTAAGCCACCAGACCTCTCTGTCTATACAGACAAGATAAAATACTAACACACTGTTGTCCGGTTGATCTGTCTCAGCAACCTTGTGAACAGAGAAGCTTTGCTCCATAGGGTCTGAGGCTATAAATCTTTGTGGCATCAGACTTCTACATCTGTTTTCCCAGAGGTGCTGGTGGGCTCGGTTTGCTGTCCTTTGGGTTACGCAATCCACTGAGCCGATAGATCACCTTCTCTGCCCAACCCCCCTTCCAGACCCAATTTTTAAAGATGAACACTGATGGTTTTCTATACATCAGAAAAGTTGCTGTTTCTTTTTTTGTCAGCAAGAGTTTAGTGGATAAAAATCAAGGACTAAGTTAATAGTATTCATAATCATGAGTACCCGTAACTTAAGTCTTTGAACAGAAGAAAACCTTGAAAGGAAGTCACCAAATGCCCAGTTTTTGAGAGTGACTCCTTCATTGCTGTTCTGTAGGAATTGGCTCACAGCTCACTCTCCTTCAGATTTCTGAGCCTTTAAGTTGCAGAGGAGGATTGCCAGTCTTTGGTCCTGTGGAGCTGCTGGTGGATTCGAACCCCCCTGCAGAGGCACAGCCTTTGAATTAGCTACCAACTGCCTATGGATGAGACCACCAGAACTCCCTTTCTGGAGAGTGGAATTGTGTTGGGTTTCCCCCTCCACTTTCTTTTTATAAAAAATTCATATACCTTGTGTATCATTCAGCTACATTGCACTTGACATTCCTGCATTGCCATTGTGTTTCAAATGATCGCTCATACATCATATATACATTGTGTTATATAAAATTAATTACCATTGATCTATGCCTGTCTTTATACCCCATCTTTTCAGATACCCATTGGATCTTTTCTACACTGGTGTTTAATTTAACAGCTCCTTGTGAGGGTGGTCAGGGAATAGGTGAATGAATGTGGATGTTGCTTTTTCCTGTAGAGCAGTTGATGGATTCAAACTGTGTGCCATTGGGATTGCAGCACAGTTTCTTATCACTAGACCACCTCATCTCCCTAGAATGGATGACGCTTAGATACGTTCTTGCTTTATACTTTTTGTCATTTAAAATTTTGTATAGTTAACGTTAAAGAAGTTAGTTCTTTTTGCAAGATGTGTGTGTGTGAGAGAAAATAATTATGGCTGTAATATTCTATAACTTGGTTTATTTCTGTAGAAAAAATTGAGCAGTGGAATTACAGTGTAGCACTTTATGAATAATCATTTTCTAGAATTCAGATTCTTTTGTAGAGAGACGGAAGAACACATCTACTCTGATTGTTTTTGTCAGTTTCATATTGTCAGATGATGTTTGAAAGGTCAGAACACCAGGTTTGTTCCACCTTGCCAGAACTAAGTTTTATATTTTGAAGTAATTTTGGCTGAAAATAATATTTTATCACAGTTTTATTTGTATTTGTTTGATTGTTAATGAGTAGGCTCATTTTCATTTCCTTACTAGTTGCATTTTCTTCTTTTTACAATTGCCTTTGTAACCTTTGCCCAAGATGTGTGAAAAGAGAACGCATTCCTGAAGATTAGAAAGAATATAAAAAAAAAATTATGTGGTAATTTTATTTTTTAAGATGAAGGTCCAAAGCTTCTATAATGGCAGAGAGTTTGAAATTTTCACAGTTGGATACTTAAAACTAGATTATCAGGTCCAAGTCCAAGGTCTTTAGTTTCCAGACAGATTGAAATGAGTTCAAAGTTGTCCTAAATTGCTGAATTTATAACCTGCTGTATAGTGCAATGATAGCTTTAGCTTCTGTGCTTGTCCTCCAAACTTGGAGTCATGAGTGGGGCCAGCTCAGATAAATAGAATTAAGGATATGGCAACCTCTTTTTGAAAGTTATTCTAGAGAAATGAACGTAAAAAAAATAAAAATCCCTTAGAGGTAAAATTTGGGAAATATACTCTCCCAGAAATCTGTTCATGGATTTTTTTTTTTCATTTTGGAAGTTGAGATTTAAACGTGTTTTACACATTAGTATGTGTATTTTAAATAGGCAGTAAATCTGAGATCTGTGTTTTTATGAGCATATTGTTGTTGTTATTTGGCACCTTCCCACTCATGCACTGTGACCCTGTGAACAAACCCCTCCCCGACTCTGTACCATCCTATCTGTGCGATGTCTAAGCCCAGTGTTTCAGTCACTGTATCAATCTACCTCTTGGAGCATTTAAATAAGTTAAGTAGAATGAGCAATTTAAATACATTTGCTTTTAGAAGATTTCTGGCATAATACGTTACTTGGTAGGGAGTTGTACTGTCAACCAAAAGGTGGTACCTCTTTGGTGATTTGAATCTACCAGTGGGTCCTCAGGAGAAAGATGGTCACTCTTCTCCTATGTAATTTACATTCAACCTCTGAAAACCTGCTGTAGGGTTGGCTAGGGGTCACTTCCAACTTAATGGAAATGAGAATTTTTTTTTTAAATATTTTGTATGAAGGAGACCTGATGTTTAACATATGGCGCTGCCAATGAAAAGATCAGGCTCCGTCTGACATACTTTGGACATGTTGCAAGACAGGACCAGTCCTTGGAGAGGGACATCATGCGTGGGAGGGTGGAGAAACAGCGCAGGAGAGGAAGACCCTCGATGAGATGGATTGATCTCGTCACTGGGGTAATGACGATAGGCATGTTGGAGTCAATAATATTGGCAAAGGGTAGAGCAGAGTTTAGGGCTATTGAATGCAGGGTCGCTATGAATCACAAGCGACTCGACTGGCATATAGCAACAAACAACAACATTACCAAATAGTCTCTGTATTAACTATATATTGGCATTTACTTAGGGACGAGGGAGCTCTGATGGTGCCATGTGTAGGGACTAAGTCACAGGCCACACCTCCCTGGCAGTTCGAATCCCGCAGTAACTCTCCTGATTTACAGCCTCAAAACCAGTGAAGGATCCGCTGTGAGCCAGTGCCATGTCGACAGTAATGAGTTGATTTTCTTCGGTTGATTTCTTTATTTACTGGTTAACTTAATTTGGCCTTTTTAAGGCCATTAGCTCTATAATGTCCCCTCACTTTAGATGGTCACTCAACTTTTTAATATTTTGCTGATAAAGTGAACAGAAGTGCTAGTAGACGCAGATGAATGTAATGGGGACCTCTTTCCCCACTTCTAGTCTCTTCCTTATCCAACTCAGATGTATAAACAAGGAACCAGCTTACACTTAATATCCTCTTTAGGCTTTAGTCAATGACAGAGTTGAGCTTACAGTATAGCCACATGGGTGCTTCACACAGGACGATATAAAAAAAATGTTATTTACCCACTTTGCCCCAGGCTTCTGTCCTGATACAGAATCTTCCTGTAGTGAGTGTCCTCCCAGGGTCCTCTGCAGCTCGCTCCAGCCGTTTTATTTCACGCTCCTAGTTGTTAGCTCCTCGTTTTGTGCAACTGGCCTGCCCTCTGCAATTTTGCTTGACTTTATTTCACTCTTCTATTTTTAGCATGGTATTTGTTTCCGTGGCTTGATACAAACAAATGATTCAGTTAATTTTGTGTGTGCCCGGCATCCAAATATAAAGTAATGCGGAATGATAACATTCATGTGTTTTGACAGTGTTTAGAGGGAAAATAAAGGAGGTTTGTGTTAAAATGTAGTGCAGATCTCAAATTACCAAGGATATTACTGGACTTTGGCTATCTTGGAGCCAGAAGTACAGCAAAGCTATGATTTTGAGGATATGTGAAGAATAAAGACCCACTTTATATTATTTCTTCATAGTCTAAAGGAAACAGCATTAATTTGAAGAGAGCTTGTTGATACAAAGTACCCCTTGTCCCTCACTGGTATCAAATTTAGTGTGGGATTAATAAGAATTATTAAGTAGTTTAAAGTTTAAATTTTGTGTCTTATAATTAACTTAATTTCATGTCATGGGTTTTTATGGGGCCATCGAAATTGTTTTATTCTCTGGCGGAGTGCTATTATTTTTCCAGTGCTCTTAGAAGAGTGCTGGATTTTATGAATGCTCTGAAACAAATTAGCACCATTTGGTTAAAACAGCTGCCTAAGTGATGAGAAGCAAATTGGATTATAAAATCCTGCGTGGTAGTTCAGCATGTCAATTAGTGAAGCAAGGACTTGAACCACGTCTTGCAGTGGGATGAAAAATGACACGTGGTGAAACCAAGTGCTGGGTAGTGGGGCCAACCTCCAGGCTTGGCTCTGCTGTCGATCTGGGGGGTAGAGAGGCCTGTGTCCTTTCAACAGTAATCCACATTTGAGATCACAGTTGTATATTCCAGAAGGTTTTCCTGAGTACCACCATCAATTATGACTGACTTAGGGATAAAGCCACAGAGTTTGAACTCATTGTAAAACCAAGATTATATAATTTTAGGGCACTGCTGTTTTGTGAGGGAAGCCTGCTGGCCTCGCCTGTAGGGGTTTGTGCCTCTGACCAGAAGGTAGAGCCTCTTTTGGTTCTAATGCACCAGAGAAAGACGGGCAATCTCTTCCAACGTGATTTACGTTCTTGGAAAACTCACTGGAGGGTCGGCCTGCATCAGCTCCGACTCCATGGCAGTGACTGGAGTGGTTTTTCCTTTGATGTTTTCGATGGGAGTTCTGCTGGCATAGGCCACGGGGACTTGTGGTACCAACCCAGAGACCATGAGGCTGTGCCTCTCTAGAGCTTTGAATCCAGTGATTACTCTGGAGAGAGAGGAGCAATCTCCTTCCAGGCAGTTTCCAGATTAAGAGCTGACTCTGACCCAAAGGAGGGTCAGCGATGAGTCAGTCCTGACTCGACAGTAATAAGCTTGAGTTTTGAGTTTGGTGTTTGTTAGAAGTCTTCATGACACAGTGGCTAATATACTTGATTGCTATCCAGTAGGTCAGGGATTTGAACCCACCAGCTGCTTTGTGGGAGAAAGATGTTACCATCAATCTGTTTCAACAAACACAGGAAAACCAAATCCCTGTTTCTCGAATTGGTGCAAACTCAAGGTGAAACTCTATCCAGATGTTTGAAGCTGTAAATCTTAACAGGAACAGACTAGGTTTCTCCCTCCTGAGTGCCGAGTGTCTCGTGGGTTTGAACTGCTGACCTTATGTTTACATTAGCTCACTACATCACTGGAGCTACGTTCCACAAAGTTTTTGGGTTTTTTCCCCCTAAAGAATAACTCAATGCCATGAAGTTGAGTTTGACCCATGGTGGCCCTTTCGTTTTCCAAGATTGTACCTTTTTTAAGGGTGGAGATGACTCACTTTTCTCCTGAGGATTTTCTAGTGGGTTTGAACCACTGACCTTTCTGTTAGTAGCTCGGCCTATTACACATTCTACCATAATGACTACAGTCTAGAAAATCCATAAACATGACAGCCTAGGAAATCCTGTGGGACATCTCCACTCTGTCCTGGAGAGTCATTAGGAGTCAGTTGGAAGGCAGTTGATTTGGGCATA